GTTATCTTTATATGATTTCGTATTACAAAAATCCTCTTTTATTGCGTTTATCTTACAAGATAAACGCAATAAAAATATATATTAAAATATTTCTCGATTAGGAGAATCAGTTCCTCTCTGACAATTCTGTGCTTTTTAGAAGAAGTTTTTAAATGCTTCTTAAAGACTTCTTCGCTTTGATCTTTTATTCTTATAAAGTTTCAATCTTCCGCTTATTTTCTCCCTAATATTTTCTCGAATGTGCTATATACCACTCAAGGGTTAATCTCGTGTCTCACGAGAAGACAGCTGGGGATCTTTGCTGTTCTAATTTCTACATCTTTTTCCTTTCTTTCAAGACGCACAACTGGCTGTCTTCTCTCTCTTTCGCGCTTTCTGTCTGTCGAAGGTACTCCGAATAAACGCAGCTTTCATTTGAAAGAAAGTGGATAGAAACAATTTTCTTTCCCGAGTATATCGTTGTAAGAGACATTAAAAACGACGATATTGCATCCTTCCCCCCGAGAGCAGAACTCTCGCTATCGGAGAACAGATGATACGGGTCCCTCTCCTCTCCCCTCTTCCCCGCGGCGCGAACGTTATCCTTCTTCCGGTCTTCGTAGCATGCGCCGGGATAAAACGGGATAGCCGCCTCTTCCCGAAAAGAAGAAAAAAAACGAAGCTGGTGGTTCGTATAAAACAACCCCTTTCCCCTTTCCCGCGTTTCTCGGGGCGGCGGCCGTTTCTGCCGATAGCTGAAAGGTGGTTGGCAGATTTCGACATTATCCCCAACTTGTTCCCTCGGTTTCTTGCTATTTTCTCGGATGTTTTATCCCCCCATCTCTGCGCCATCGTTCCAAACCCCCTCTTCTTACCCTCTCCTCGACTTTTCCGCACTCTCGATTTCGTCGGGGAACGCACGCGCCTCCAGTCGGCTCCTGTCACCGGAAGCGACGAAGTTCGTAGACTACGTTGTATATCTCAATCATGTACGTATTGCAACGTATGTCGAGTTTTATATGCAAAACGAGTTATTCGATTTTGTGATAAATAGTGTAATTGTAACTTTTACTGCAAATGAGAATGATTCGTCCGGTTTATATGTATTTATTATATATCGTGTGAATAATGTTGAAAAATTATTTATCATTATTTTTTCGAAATTCTAAGATGATTTCTTACTTAATATCTTTTATTTCTAAAAATTTGGGATCGTGTTCCAGGTTCGCGAAAAACGAAGAGACACGCCCTATATATAACCTCGTAGCGTTTATTTTAGTGCCACCAAGAGATTTTAAATTTTATTGTCCCATCGTTTTTCAATATTAATTCGGCGAAATGTATGCCGAATTGTCTATGTTATTCTAAAGTTAAAATTAATAATTTTCGATATTCATACAGGGAATATTAGTTTAACAATACATTTTGTATAACGTACTCGATTATTTTGCTTAATTTTTATAATTTAATATTCAGCTCTCACGCACATGTACACATCTATCACTGTGAATCTATCATCTGTATCTACTCGCAATAATTGTATATCATTCTCGAATATAATTGTATAATCGCCGTTATAATATACATTCTCAGGCTCTCGACGCCTCGTTTCTGCCGCTATTATCGCTACTAATTGATCTGCCGCACAGATCGATAATTAACGTCCGTCCGTCACGCCCGAACGTGCGTTCCCCTTCAAGCTCGCGAAGCAGCGCACCTCGTCGTCGAGACGTCGAGGAAAGGCCGCCGACGCTTGCGCGTCGCGGCGCACGACGTCGCGGTCGGCTCCGTCCGGGGGTGCCGTCGATACTCGTCGACCTGCACGTCGTCGACCCGCGACAGTCGAACGAAAGCGAGAGCGGCCGGCGAAAGTGATGTGTGTGTCGCGCAAGCTCAGTCGCGATCGCGGCGGTGAGGAAAGTTGAAGATCCGCGTGCTGTCGATGCTCCCGACGAGACAGGATGGAGAACGCCATGGTCTGGAAAGTTGTAGGAGAAATTATGATAATTACACGCGGAAAAAAATTAGTCTTAAATCGAAGAGCAAAAAATGTTCTCATATATAAGCGAGAATATTATATTAATCTTGATTCAACTTGAACTTGCATCGATGCAATTACTATCCTTGCTCAAGGATGAAAAATTTTCTGCATGGAGATCGTAATATTCTTTCTTATATACGTGAGAAAATCTACACTCGCGTCAACACTAAAATTTTTTTTTTTAAGAAGATTACAATGTTTTTGGCTTATATGCGTGAGAATATGTAGTCTTAAGACTAATTTTTTAAGACTAATTTAGGATTTAAAACTAATTTTTTCTGTGTATTTCGTACGTTGTTTTTTTTTTTTTTTCTCTTTCATCCTGTTCAGTTCGCGATGAAATAAAGCGCCATCGAACAACGATAGCGCCGTCGTTACTCAGATAACAATTTGACGGAGTGTAACGGAAGACTTGACCTAACGAGTTACGTGCGCGATAGTAGAGCTCAGGCTCAGATTCTGTCAGACGCGAGGGCAGAAAGGGTTCCTTTCTTGAAGGAGACTCGCGACGTGTACGTATCTACCGAAGAAACGCGATATTATCTTTCGCTCCTCCGCGCGTGTCCGACCGGTTTTCCCGCAAGGATCCTCGCGAGGATCGCTTTTGAAAGCTACGCGACGTAAAGCCGCGACTTTCCGTTTCGAACGGGGGGCATCGCCTTGCCTAGCTCGTTCGAGCTCGTTACACAATCAGTATATCTACTTTTATAGTATATCTACTTTTACATTAATAGATGAAAAAGGAGATGGAAAAGTGTAATAAGTGTAATAAAAAGATTCTGTATAAATTCTCGTTCGTCTTCCGAGCGACGTTATTGGAAGTAAAAGAGAAAAACGATTGCTATTTTCGAGTTATAAAATGATGTTGATTTTATTTACGAAGTATTGATGTTACGATGGAAAGATTATATTCGGCATAATGAAGCTTATAAATCGCATAAAATTACCGCGTATTTTGAGCGTGCGCAATTAAAAATAAATCTTCTTTTTACTAGTGGATAAGAAAACAAGTGTTAAGCTCGAGCGTGACTCATGCCGATTTTTTTCTATAATGGGTATTGATGACAAGAAATTAAAATGCAAAAATGTGTATTGAAGTCGCCAAAGAAGTCGAGCATAGATAAGAGCATTACTCCGTTAAAAGTAAAAGTAAAGATATTCTTTGTAGACGTACAGGTAAAGAGATTGTTGCCGTTGAAAAAAAATTTGTTTTTCACATTCTTTTTCCATGATTTTTGGTTCTGCAAAGATATTTAATTTTTCATAATTTTTCATAATTTTTTTATTCAATTTTCAAATTAATAAGTATTAAATTGAAACCTTCTTTAAAATCTGCTCCAAAAATAGAGCAAGAACTTTCTCTTTTTTTGTCAAAATTTCTTCACATTGAATCAACTTTTTGACTTGACTCGAAAATAAGAGTTCGAAAGTGATAATTTGTTAAGCAAACATTTGCTCAACAACATCAGGTACATCGTACGTGAGTCACGCATAAATTTGGTGAAATTTCGAAGAGGTATACGAGTCTTGCACATGGTTACAGGTGCGGACAATCGAACTGTCAACTGTGTTCTAAAAATTGCGAGAAGTGCACTCGTATTGCAAACGGAGGATTGACATCAGCCACGTGCTGCGACTTCTCAAAATAATATCTTACGTCCTTAACGTCAGCCGTCGTCGTTGTGGTCGCAATACGATTTTGATCTCGACCCGGTTACGCGGAACGATCTCGTGTAGCCGATCGACTGCTCGTTTCGCGTTTTTCGTCTCGCAGCAATCAAGAACCACTCGGCTGGAACCGTTTTTATTTAACCCGGCGAAAGATACAGTTCGACGATCGAGAGCGGCTCCCTAGGCGTTGGTTCTGCTTCAGTTCTTGTTACTTGAGTTATTTATATGCAGTACAGATTTTTGCGGTAAAATAGCACGACGTTTAAAAATTTATTTTGATTCTTTTAATAAAAATATGGAGTGAGATATGCGCGATTATCGCGTAATATTTTTAATGATTTACGTTATTAATTTACGAAATATGATGAATATTAATTGATATTGCTGAAGAGTAATATCTGTAATTTAGTGCCGAGCTTATTAAAAAATTATTTGCCGGATGATTTTGCACCAATGTCGCTTTATCAGCGTCTTAATGAGGGATGCGATTTTTTTTTCTTTTTTTTTCCATCCCGTTACGTTGATTGTGCATCGAGCGTGAATCGAGCGCAGAGGCTCAAGACCTTGAGAGCTTAACCAGATCGATTGCATAAGAGATCGCTTTCAGCGACGACGGACGGGAATTGCGAAGGGAGAGGGAGGGAAACGGCTGTCAGATCGATTCAAATCGAACGGCCTCGATCGATACTTGTCGCTTACGTTCGTCATTGTTATGTACCTCCCTCGCGTGTGTTCGGCAGTCAAAGAACCAAAGAGTTGAATGATTTATGAATCCCAGAACTTAAAAGGTAAATGAAGAAAAGAAAAGAAACACACAATCGGAAATAGAAATCCTTAATTTAAGTTTTGCGTGATTCGCGAGTTTTCAGACTCGAGCAAATTCGAATACCTGATTAGTTAAGTAGTCAAAAAGACTCACTTAGAGATTCTACAAATTGAAGAGGAAATTTTAAGACAAGATTTTTAGACAAGAATCATTATCATCGCGAATAAAACGCGCACTCGACTCAGGCTAGTTCAATGTCCTCGATCAAAATCATCGGGCCGTATTATTTTTAAATTTTCACCGACAAGTATTTTTTTTTTTTTTTTTTTTTACATCGGTTCATCGGGGAACCGATGTAAATTATTGCCGAGATATACGACCGAGAATGTATGTAAATAAGTAAATAAGTAAATTTACACGGAATATAAAACACAAAAGAAAAATGAAGATTATTTCTTCCTCAATATTCTCTGGACCGGTCGCCAAAATTCTTCAAACTTAATCTTTAGAGATATACTTGAGTTTATAATTTAAAAAGTGTATACGAGCACAAATATTTACCGGTGCCACGTTCTTGGGAAATCGTGCGACTACATCATGCGATATTAACGTGTCGAATTCGTCGCCGGCGTTTACATATGCAAAATCGCAATCGCGACACCGATTGGACCGTTGAATATTTACAGATGAGAGATATCTCGAAAGTCGCGTGCTCGTCGACTCGACAAATTTATAATATGTTTATTTAATAAAGATATGATGATATAGCTGTTTTCGAGTCACGAGTGAAATAAGAATAAAGAATTATGGAGAATTATGGAAAAATTTTTTAGGACGTCGATGATCGACGAAATATAATTCTCTTTCTCTTCGATTAATTTGACAGTCGAGACGTAATATTAAACATTCATGATCAGCTCTTGTTATCGCGCTATACAATTTATTTTCACGCGTGCTGTTTATCATATGTATAAGAACATTTGGCGAGTCGAAAATTTTTATTTTACCTTCGACTTGAATTAGAATTTTTATATTTATTTTGATATTTTGATAAACAAAGTGAAATAGACGTTTTTCGATATAATTTACTACGTACAACTCCTATGATTATAAAATTCTATTGAAGATCCTCCTCTTTTGAACCACAAAATGGGAAATTATTCGTTTTTTTACTTATTTCAAATGTAAAAGTAGGAATTCATTCATGTAAAATAAATTTCTGTAACAATCAATGTAAAACCTGAAAAGCTTAAAACTAAGGTCAAAAATAGGAATAAAATTTCGACTTGGGAAATCGATTGGCGTAACGCAACTATCGAGATCCGATAATACGAAGCGCATAAGTGAAATTTGCACGGCCTGGCGTGACTTTGCGAGCCAAGCGCGTGAAGTTGCGATTTGCAAATCGAATATCTGAATGACGAGAGAGATAGAGAGAGATAGTGAGAGAGGGGGGGGGGGGAGAAAAAGCGAGGACGAAGCGCGACGACGTGCGATTGCAACCGCACGACGCAGCTTGACCAGTGCTTTTCAGTCCATCGCAGCGGCCGAAACGTTGCGTAATTGCCGCAACGAAAGTCCGCACGGCGCGTGTCGTTCTCCTTCCATTCGCGATTCACACGCGAATTCGAGTGATCCTGTCCTAAAGTCTGTAGATTCAGAGGGCTCCGAAATGTCCTGAGATTCAAACGAACATTCAACATATTAAATGTAAAAATGTAAAAAAAAAAATTCCTAATTTTGGTTTAATATTTAAAGATTCGGGGGAATCTATATAAAGCGGAATTTAGAATTTTGCGTTTTTTGAAAATTCAGGGTGCAAATATCTCAAGATCTAAAGAGAAATGTGTGAGTATTTAAAAATTCGAGATTATCGAAAGATGGAAAGGAAACGTACGTTCAAGGATCCGAAGATTTCACGTGATCTAACGTTTAAAGATCAAAGATCGAATTTCGCATCCTTGGAGGATTCTCTCTACATTGTAAACAATAAGAAATCGACGTCGTAAAAGGAAATCGAATGCTGCAGAAGATATCTATATAATTCCTGATGAATTCGTTCGGTCATTTCATTTTAATTTATGAAATTTAAGGATCGGCAAAAGAAAATTCGAATCTAAGTGTGTTTACACGTGCGTAATATCGTGTCGTAATATCGACGTTGAGGCTGATCGTTCGGGGAATGATCGAGGAATTGCACCGAGGGACTCGATCCCGTCGTTGCGTCGTCGATTTAATAACAGAGACTCGACCCTCGGAGACGCTCGCGGATACTTTTGGCCGGATTCCATTGCGCGCTCACGCATCCGCTGGCAGCTAATTCCGCGTGCGGGGGGATTTCGCAACAACGCGATTTTCTCGCGGGGATACTCACCCGCGTGCGCATCTCTCGGTGCGTGATTTTTCTATCTGGTTCTATCCTCTTCCGCCTCCAGCATCCATCGGCGGATCTACGGATACACCGATTGATCGTCCTCATCCGCGATTATTTACCCCTTTTCCGCTGCGAAATTAGATTCCACGGCTAATAATAACGGGCGAGTGAATTATTGGCGACGATTTCGCGACAGAGTAACGCGACCGTTCGTGTATAATAAAGATCGCGTGGCGCGTGACGCGGTTTTACGAGCGGTTGGGTGAAACAGTGATACGAGTCAATAATAGTAAATCCTACATTTTAACTGTCTGCACTGTCTGACTGTTCTTCTCTTCAAGGTTCCCTCGTGCTTCCTCTCGCTATTTTGAAAACAACGAGATTGAAAGAATAATAAAAAAAAAAAAAAGAAAGAAAGAAGTTTTTTAACGTTAAATAATATTGCAATCTTCTTTTGCGAAGTGTGAATATTCTAATATTCTTAGCATTGTTCCGCGAGTTTGTTTACTTGCGGCAAGGTTCGGAGGAGGAGGAATCGCGAGTGTGTCTCATGGGATACGATTTATACAATCGCGGGAAAAACTTACTTACGATAGACGTTCGAGAGACCAAGTGAGTGCGATAAGAGCCGAGTGTCCTTCGTTGTAAGAGAGAGAGAGAGAGAGAGAGAGAGCGAAGCGTATTTAAAAGTGCAGGTGCACGTACGAGGGAAAGAAAGAACAGACGGGACATCAGCGAAAAGAAGAAGGCGATAATAAATAAATCCTCTCGCGTGTATGACGTATGACGTGTTCGTGTGCACGAGATCGGACGGTGGTCCGTCCATCGATCAATTCCCGGCGAAGGTGCGTGTTATCGCGGCCTAAGCTAAGTTACGTAACGTCTCTGGCACCCGCGTAAGAAGGAGCATCGGCAGTTGTGCTCGCCGAGGCCCGCCGATTATTCGGGGGCATCCGGCGATATATTTCGGGATGCAAGATAACCAAGATATAAATCTCGCCATCTCCGGCCTACATGCATTTTCTCTGTACGAGGAGTCCGTTAAAAGCGGGAGTGTTTTGTACTACTCTGAAAAACCCTGAAATTTTCTGGAAATTTGTTTGTGTCTATGAAAAGTCAGAGAATTTTATCAGAGGATCAGAGAATTTTTTTTTTTTTTTTTTTTTGTAACTTACTTTTCCTAATATTTTTTTATATTGTAATTGGAAGTTTATTGACTGAATTGTTAACGATAACAATGAATCTATCTGTCTACTCCACTCAGAGCGTACTGTATTCTGAAACCAACGATTTTTTTCAGTTTTGTTTAATGAAAAAAATGGATATTTGTCTCAATAGTTTTATCAAAGTTGAATTTTATATCGATTATGTATTATGTAATTTTCTGTTGCTTTTGAAAATAAAGTTGGAAAATTTTATGCAATATAAAATATTTTTTCAAGCTTTTACAACTTTCTTTTAAATTTTTCAAATTTAATTTCGAGCGATACTTAATTTTATTTTATAATTTATAAATTTTTGTAAATCGAAAATAATTAAGAACTTTTGCGCAACAAATGTTTACTTGTAAGGTATATATTTAAGAATCCTTTCATTTTATCTGAAAATTCTCAGGAAATGTTTTTTTGGTGAAGAGGGGGGAATTGAGTAGTAGGTCACTCTAGAAGGGAGTAGTCTAGTGTTTTTTTTTCAAGTTTTCCGACGAAGAATAGGAGGGAAAATTTCGCCCGTGGACATTGACATCCACGATAAAATCGCGAATGTTTGGGGATAATGTACTCTGGAAGAGGGTAGCTACGAGTTATCGAGCGAGTTATTGGCACGTTTCTTTCTTATTCGCGATTTGGCATTTCGCAACACATTCGCAACACGCGTTTGCTTGGGAGAATCGCGCGACCGTGGCCTGACGCGCATGCTAAATCTTGCATCGGCGATGGTACGCGTCCAAAAATTAAAAGTACATCTGGCTACGCGCAGGGAGGGTTGGTTATGCGCACCGAGGGTTGGATCGTAAACAACGCTCGTAAACATGTCACGCGGCATCCTAGCCTCGTCTCAGTGCTAAACATGGTCCGAGGTTTATGAGGACTTATTTAGGTTCCGCGAGCTTAGCTTAGATCCGCATTCAGTTTCCGAAAGTGGCCGAGAACCCGAGAAGATCTGCCGCTGAATTTTCGCTCGTTCGCGTTCAGCGAATGTAAATTAAAATAACAAGATTTACTACTCGACATAAAGTTTACTTTCGCCAAATTCTAATTTGTGCCACGGCTCGCTTACTCAATTTTAGTGCCTGGTACGAAAAAAATTTATGATCGACGACAAGTCGATCTTTAATCATCGTCGATGAGTCGGTAATGAGTTTGAAGACTAAGACAAATCTTGAAAATCGAAAAGAACAAAAGCGTCTCATAATGTGGAATCGAGATATTAATTGCAGAGAAATTAATTACTATGCTAAATGCTATGATGATTTATGTGTGACGTTTTGAAATAATGTTGTTATTAATTTGAGCGGCTTCTAGAATGAGACAACGTGGTGCAACCATCGCGGTGCACGCCGCATCGACCTCGAGAGCCGCGCCAACCTGGCCGCTGCACTCGCGTGATCGTCTCGGCAAACTCACAACAAACCACTCGAGTTTCGCGCATGCCCGGCCGCCAGGGATCGGGTTGGGTTAGGTGTGGGTTAAATATGCGGTCGGGTGTCAGGGGAAAAATTAAAAATAGAGTGACGGCCGGCTTGCGCAAGCGAGCACGTGGGGAACTTCTTCTGTCCGCTCTGTCACTTTTCTTTCGCTTTTCCCGCGGGACCTCCCTTATCTCTGACACTCCCTCGACTTGGTCGTCCCGTCGATTGTCTTAACGAGACAAGAGATTATCGTTCATCCACAACGATTTACCTTGCGCGTTGTCAAGGAAGCTGCTCGACTTCAATCTCGCTCTTTCTCTGAAAATTTGCTAATTTTATTTTTGCGTTGCCCCTGAATTTGTTCTTAATCCGACTACCAATATTTTATGATTCATTTATTCATTTACTAATGTATTATATAGGGTGCGGAACACCCCTTGTGACTTCGAAGGGTTCACTCGAGGATTGTGGTAAAGTTGTTTATTACATGTGATGGAAAGGGAGAACAAGGGAAATCTTTTAGCAAGTTTCAGAACAAAAGACATAAATGATGTAAGGCTCCTTTTACTCTGTGTCATAAAACCGATTTCCCATGTATCAGTCTGATACTAAAAAATTATAATATCTTCCGTTTTTTTTCAGTTTACGATACATCAGCATTTATGACGAAGTCCATCAGAGGATTAATTTTAGTGCAATTAAATTTTAGTGCAATTGGCTCGTTGATCAACCCCGCAATTAAATCGTCCACGATCTAAAACAAGACATTGCGGAAATGCTCGTTTCAGTATTTTTCAAACGTGATTTATCAAATCATCGAATCTCTTATTAAATCCGCCAACACCTTCGATGCTATGAAATTCTATATTTTTAGAATATATTACGGGGGATTTGTTATTTGATTATCTTTCGTTAAATTTTCTAATTAATTTAGGGGATTAAAATGCTGGCACAAAGTGCATTGACTCGGGTGGTTTCGTGCAAATTTATAAAGATATTCCATCGAAAGATCTCGCGATTGTGTTTACCGAGGCAAAAATAAAGTTTATCGCGTTCAATTATCGCGCAAGAATCGCGAAGAGGCGATACTGCGTAAAGACGTCATTTTAAATCTCCCCTTGAAATTAGATCCATCGAGAGAGAGAGAGAGAGAGAGAGAGAGAGAGAGAGAGACGAACGAATAAATGTAGGCTATTTCAATAAATGTGTGTATGTGTGTATATGTGTGAGTTCTCGCCGAGTTGCTGCCGAGGAAATGCGAAGTGCCGGACTTCGCGGGAATAAAGTAGCGAAACGAACGATAAGAATCGTTACGACCGAACGATGAGGAAGGTCGAGAACAAACAACCCGCTTAAAATTTATCTTTATTTCGCGCGGCGTCTCGTAACAAAAAAAAAAATGCGCAAACAAAATGCGAGAATATTATTATTATAACTGAAGAAATCTGGCGGTGGCTCACTTAAGAACGTCGCTCATCCAATTTATATCTGCCTCTGCGCTCGACGATTATCTTATCGCGTTATATTTAAGCTCTCCGAGGTCTATTTCACGCCTAACTATTTGTACTTTCGAGATAACACTTTCGTTCCTAAATCCAAACAGTATATTTTTTTTTTTTTTTTTCATCACGGCAAACACGCGACGCGCCTGTACGCGTGGAGTGTTCTCTCGCGATCTCGAGATGTGCGCGTACGCGATTCGCACGATTCCGCACCGCCTTTGGGATCCTCGCTGGTCAATTTGCGGCAATTACCGAGCTGTTGCGAGCGGTTAGGATCACTTAGCGCTCGCTCGACGTAGATACGACGACGAATCATCCGCGGCGAATCTCCCGGCCGGCGACGTTGCGAATCCTCGGCCGCGTAAGGCGCACGGTGAATCCGCACGGTAAAATCGCGGACACGTGCTCGCGCACGTGATTGCGTCCACGTGCGCATCCACGATCGAAGATCTCGCCTCGAGCTGACATCGCAATCAGATGCGCGAATAAACGTGATCTCGAAGGTCCCCCCCTGCCCCCCCGCCCCCCCCCGCTTTCGGCGTGACATAGCTTCGAGAAATTATCTTATAATTTAAAAGTTAGGAGCAAAACGTAAGTAATCTGATTAGCGTGCGGAAAGAGCGAGGTGTATAATTCCGTACCTCACGTCAAAATTCTTCGATAAAGAGAACAGTCTTATTATATAATTATATCAATTATATTTTTAATTCTATTAAGAAATTTAAATTTGATGAATATTTTCTTATTTATTTTCTTTGCATTAACGTGTCAATCTTTGCTCTTGTCAATCTTTCTCGAGCATGGGTATAGAGATATTAATAGATGAAATGAGCTTATGTTAATTTTGTTACGTAAAATGATGTGGAAGACATAACGCAACTGTTGGTAAAAATATCGCAGGGGAAAAATCATTTGCTTAAGCTGAAAATAATTCGAAACTTACGAGGGCCGAAAGAGTTAAATTGTGCACGGTTATAGTCGAGGCGTGTTACATACTCGTTGTTTAGACCGATATTTATATATCCGGGTTATCTTTCGGGTTAAGGCCGGCTTAACTTTAACTGTGCGATCGAAGAAAAATGCAGGCGTAATCATGTCTAACGTAAGCAAGACTTATTATACCAAAGACATGGCATGAATGATTGGCATGAACCGCCGATATTTTCTGCCGTCTTTCATGATTTTTTTTTTTTTTCGCTCGGAAGGATCGGGAAAAAACGGAAGAAGTGAAAATTGAGAGTTTCATTGTCTACGGACCAAATGACTTCTCGATGCCGCATAGGAATTGCTAATTGGATTTTCGTTAGATCTTTCGTACATTTCTTTTTTTTTTTCGACATTGCTTAATGTAAGATCTTACTTGTTGCCGGTTAATTTTTTTCTATAATCTTCATTTTACTCGGCTTTTTGCGATCGTTTTCTCACATGTTGAAGATTCTCTGCCGGTTCAATCCTATCTGGGAAATAATACGTGTCAAATGTTAAGAAGAACGACTGATACACTTTATAAAGAGATCATATACGTTGATGAATCAACGATGTTTATCAGTGACACTATTCACATGGCTGTGATGGCATGTAACGCTGCCGTGACGTAAGAGCAGCTTATAGCCGATATCGTTTATGGTCTGAGAAATTGCAGCGGTTTCTTTACCTCGGAAGGCGTGTCTTGTCAGTCATCAGGTAAAAGATGCTTGTCGACAAGCGCATTTTCATGACGTTCACGAAATCTCGAAAATCCTAGAGCCGAATTAGAAAAACAACTTTGTAGACCGTAATACTTTCCTCTTATACGAGTTGTTTGCGAGAGACGTGTCATTTTGCAGTCGCGAGGCAATGAGATTCATGCTTCTGTTAATTGTTTTCAAAGTAAAGCGCGGAAAATCGTCACGGCAAAGTGCGACGTGACGCGCGAAAAAAGACGTCGATTGGCGATCACGAGTTGCCGGTTATATAAACGCGTTCTCGTGATTACAGCGCGTTTCTGTCTCGAGCTGAAGGAGAAAGAGAGATGTGATCGCTTCGCGAGAGTTGAATGGATGGAGAGAGAGAGGGAGAAAGAGAGAGAAAGAGAGAGAGAACGAGAGCGAGAGAGAGAGAGAGAGAGAGAGAGAGAGAGAGAGAGAGAGAGAGAGAGAGAGAGAGAGAGAGAGAGAGAGAGAGAGAGAGAGAGAGAGAGAGAGAGAGAGAGAGAGAGAGAGAGAGAGAGAGAGACGTAGAGTAGAGA